GAGCTAATAAAGATTTGAAATTATTCCTTGATTAAAGATATTTTTCTTATCGTCAATGCAGAAAATAATATTTATTATATGTATGGTATAATGCACTGACTCATTGGCCGCTGGGTTTTTAATAAATATACCTTTCTGTACATCTCATTTACCAATACAAGGTACAATAACTCCAATGCGTAATAAGTTTATACTTTATAAAATATTAATTAAAAAATTTTTTTGAAAAGTTGCATTCATAAAATGCGCTTGATGCAAATTAGTAATGTGTTTCTATGATAGTTAGCAATCAAAAACGTTTATGCATTGTGACTATAATATTAATAGTGTACAAATTAAAAGTTTTAACACCAAAGATTAATTGTCATCTAACATATTTTTGTTAATTTTGATGTACTTCTTTGTGTAATGTCATCATAATTCTATAATACATAAGTAAACTTTGCTTTGCAGAATTTTAAAACAATTACGCACACAAAGAATTTTAAACATTAATATTTTATAAGTTATTGATCATTCATGATGATTCATAAGTGAATGAGGTGTACTATAACATATTAAAAATTTAGTAAAATTAAAGGAGTCAAGGGTTGGTTGTCCCCTTGTAAGACATTTTTTGGTACGATGCATACTTTCAGAGATAATAGCTCGTAACACTTTAAATGCCGCACTTTCCACTTTGCCTTTAGCTTCTTTTATATCTTACACTGTTGGAAAATTTTTGTATTTTTGTGAAAAAATCTGCTGGTTAAAATTTTTGTGTAAAATAATCAACACATACATGTGTAGATTTAACATATGTCTGCTATGTTAATTGAACTTAACAAATATAAAATGTAAAATTATTGAAATAATTAAAAAAATATGTTAAAGTAACACAATTTGAACGTATTTATTAAATGTGTTAAAATTTACTGAAAAAAGTGTTAATTTTACTCTTTAACAGAAATGGGAATAAAAATTTACAGAAAAAGAGCGTTGATTTTACTCTATAACAAAAGTGGGAATAACTGCGCATATGATTTCGACGTAGTCTCGACGCGTCTCGACGTCGCTCATTGCCGCGCGGCAAGCGTTTCCGCGTCCCATATGCAGGAGCCAATGGACAAGAAGCGTCGGTGATCGTAGTGGCGCCCGCGCCGTGATAAACTATTATGATTGACTATCTAGTCTGGGTAGCTATGGGTTGAGGTATCGTTGGCGCGAAAAGTGTCGAGTGCGAGTAAAGGAAAATCGAGAAGTTGTATGTGGACTGTGGTAACGCTAACGCACGGCATCGGCACGAAATCCTATCGGTACCGATTGCGTGACGAAATTTTTCCGAGGGTCAGGATCAACAGCGGGCCTTCGTATTCTTGTTCTGTTCACTTGGTTGTCAAGAGCAATTTGCACAAAAACTTGTCGTAGGAACTCAGAAGAATCACAAGATCCGCCGTCGAGTGTCTCCTCCGTTACGACGTATCTTAAACTTATTTTTATCTGAGGATTTGCTTACTTTTAGTAAAATTTTGTTTACTTCGTTTTTTCCTTGGAGTCCGAAGTATATGCTGTATGTGAACGCTGGAACACTTTACAAATATATTATCCTCGTGTTTAGGATATATTGTAAAAAATACGTCTATTTTATTCATAGTAAAATAAATTGATTTCCCGTATACTAAAAGTCGGGAGATCTACATACCTTAGAAAAAGATTTAGTCATTTATAACTGACCACTTTTTGTAACTTTTTAAACAGTTCATATTTACATATTAAAAAAAATGTAATAATTTATATAATAATTGCAAAACATATAAAATATAAAAAAATGTTATTTTTACATTCTAAAAATGTTAATTATTTATTAATATACATATAAGGTGTTGGGTTTATAAAATATTATACATATTAAATAATTGAAATACTTTTATTATAAATTACATATATATAAATTATGAATTATGAATTATGAAATTATTATGAAATATTATGAAATATCGTGCAAGACGTAAGGTACTATTATTTGAACTCACCGGGAGGCAAGATCGGGTAGCTAGCATCCAGCCATATATGGTTAATTCGCGCTTTCCATTGTGAGTTTGCATCTTTTAAAATCAGGTAGAACCGTGTGCACACTAAGCTCAAACCGTGTACCAGCGTAAGCCCATCTTAGAAAGGAATAAATATGCAGGAATATCTAAAATAAAGTAAAATAAAAAAATTAAATGACAACCAAACAAACGCTCCGAAAGAGATGGAGACAGAATGAAAGAGAGAGTCGACCGTCGCTGGTTACAACACCCTTTACTCCTGCGACAAGCGACTCTTACTACGGAACTTTTCAAAATAGATTCCAATCGAAATTGTTTAGTCCTTTTTTTAGATTTCTATTGTGCTTTTTTTGCAACAAATAGAATAATTCTGATTGGAATCCATTCTTAAAAGTTCCATAATGCGTGCCTAACGGATGCAATAATAGCGTCGATTAAAAAAAGGAATTTCGTGCACGTGTACGCAGGCACACGTTACACGGGTGTCAACGTTTTTCATTTTTTTTTTATACAAACCTCCACCGGAAGACGCTGCAGTGTGACAGTTGTGTATTTTCCTCGCCGTCGTAAGCGCAGGTTGCATTCTCGATATCCATTTTATTTCGCGGCGAATCTGAATAGTTCTATTCGATCGCTGCTCGGGACTGACTCGGTAGTTCAACGAATGCGACTGAGGATGATGTGATTGGTGTAAACACGGAAGAATCGCCGTATATCCGGTGCATCATGCACCCACGTGCATCGCACATAAGCGACGCCACCTATACAAGGTGTCGCGAAAGAAGTGTGCGTATTTCGATCGATCTGTATTCGACTCTTTCATAATGAGTGAAATAATTAAAAATTTGCATGTTTATTTAATAAACTTAATTAACGGTGTCTATCGAGTTGCGACGTAAAGAATTCCAATAGGAACGTAATGCGAAACATCACGCGTCATTCTAAAGACTTTAAATTCCATTCCGCACAAGACCTGCGACGATTCGGAAGAGGTGTTTTTCCCAGCGATCGAAAAAAGGATAAGGGGCGTTACCTATTACTCGAATACACGACATGTACTTTTATTTATAAATGTTACAAACAAGCGTCTCTCTGGTACACTCGAAGAATCTCTACACGGCGTCGCTTCTCGAGTCTGCAAGCGCAGAGTTTTACATGAGAAGAAAATGCATGATATTAAGATAAAACACCTTATCAGAAAAATTTGCAAAACAACAAATGTGATATACGATAATACAATGTATAAAATAAAATATATTTAAATACTTATGGCACTTATATATATATATTATTTTAAAAAAATATTTTTTTTCTTATTTTCTTCTCAATATAAAAGATCCTATTATGATTACGCAATAATTATGAGATGTGTTTATAATTATAACTATGATTATGGCTCAGCTTATAAACGCAAGCGATGTTAGTAAAACTTACTCAAAAAAATTTTGAACTTCTAATTTTGCAGAATGGTATAGGTATACATATTACATTGTACATTAAAGAGACGCGTTCGAATAGTACCTTACAATTAGTAAAACCTAAAAACATACATCACATATAAAAAAAATACAGCTGTAGAATAGCTATAGATCACGCATAGAAACTTTCCGTTTACTGCGTTTCGTTGAACACGTCAACTTCGGGCACCATAACCTGGATACCATCATCACCGGATATTGCAAGAGTGCCATTCAGATAGTCCATCTGCAACATAAAACACACGAACAGTTACATACAATATTCAACAAAATTCACGAAAAATGTTGTCAATTTTAAGGATTTTACTTACATTCGGAAAACATCGATAAAATCTGATTTCAAAGTTTAAATGTAAATAAAAATTTAATTATCAAACTGTATTTTTTATTTTACACGTTGATGTTTAACGAATTTTTTTTCAAAGTCAATGATACGATACATACGATAGATACAATGATACTTGTTTTATCTTATTACCAATGATACGATATTTTCAGCAAATCTTATACGTGTGATACTCACGTCGAAGATACATCTGATCTCTGGACATAAAGTAGCGATGGGCTTTGGCGGATCCGTAAGGCTCGAAATTTTGACAGTACCGTCTTTGGAACTTGTTATCAGGCATTCGTGCGTCAGATGCACTCTAGTTATACTTGCCGTATGCTCAGTGGAATAAGATTTCACTAGCTTGAAATCGTCCTTTGCATTTAGCACGTGCAACTTCGAGAAAAAATCTCTACAGGTTCCAACGAAAACCAAATCCCGTCGCATATTTATACACGTAGGGTGCGGTTTACCTGGAAACTAAAAAGTACACCTTCGACATCGTGTCTCGTTTCTCGATGTTAAAATTTGACATTACTGTGATAGACTTCATGATCCGTCCGGCTCTTTGATCCCAAACGAATACCGCGTCCTCGCTGGTGGACAGGATGTATTCCGTGTTCATGGCCAGCCTCATATTCACGTTACTAGTGCTAGGTCGGTAATGCCTGATCGGGTTATTTCTCGATCTCGAGTCGAACACGCATATAGTCCCGGAGGATAAGCCGGTCGCAAAGAGGTTTCTCTCCGGACCCGGACACGATGACATACATGATGGCCATAATGACGAGAAACTGTCGCTCCTCGGTCTGTGAAAATAAACCTGCACTTTTTGAATTTTATA